AGAATGTTGAATATTGGCCCCCACTCTCTTCTGGCTTGTAGAGTTTCTGCCGAGAGATCTGCTGTTAGTCTGATGGGCTTCCCTTTGTGGGCTACCCGACCTTTCTCTCTGGCTACCCTTAACATTTTTTCCTTCATTTCAACTTTGCTGAATCTGACAATTATGTGTCTTGGAGTTGCTCTTCTCGACGATTATCTTTGTGCGTTCTCTGTATTTCCTGAATTTGAATGTTGGCCTGCCTTACTAGGTTGTAGAAGTTCTCCTGGATGATATCCTGAAGAGTGTTTTCCAACTTGGTTCCATTTTCCCCCTCACTTTCAGGCACATGAATCAGACATAGATTTGGTCTTTTCACATAATCCCATATTTCTTGGAGGCTTTGTTCATTTCTTTTTCCTCTTTTTTCTCTAGACTTCTCTTCTCGCTTCATTTCATTCATTTGATCTTCAATCATTGATACTCTTTCTTCCAGTTGATCAAGTTGGTTACTGAAGCTTGTGCATTTGTCACGTAATTCTCGTGTCATGGTTTTCATCTCTATCAGTTCGTTTATGGCCTTCTCTGCATTGATTATTCTAGTTATCCATTCTTCCATTCCTTTTTCAAGATTTTTAGTTTCTTTGCCCTGGGTATGTAGTTCCTCCTTTAGCTCTGAGAAGTTTGATCAACCGAGGCCTTCTTCTCTCAACTTGTCAAAGTCATCCTCTGTCCAGCTTTGATCCATTGCTGGCGATGAGCTGCATTCCTTTGGAGTGGGAGATGCGCTCTGATTTTTTGAATCCAGCTTTTCTGCCCTGCTTTTTCCCCACCTTTGTGGTGTTATCTGCCTTTGGTCTTTGATGATGGTGACGTACTGATGGGATTTTGGTGTGGGTGCCCTTTCTGTTTGTTAGTTTTCCTTCTAACAGTCAGGACCCTCAGCTGCAGGTCTGTTGGAGTTTTCTTGAGGTCCACTCCAGACCCTGTTTGCTGGGTATCAGCAGTGGAGGCTGCAGAAGATAGAATATTGCTGAACAGTGAGTGTTGCTGTCAGATTCTTGTTCTGGAAACTTCGTCTCAGAGGTGTGTCCAGCCATGTGCAGTGTGAGGTGTCAATCTGCACCTAGTGGGGGATGTCTCCCAGTTAGGTTACTCAAGGGTCAGGGACCCACTTGAGCATGCATTCTGTCTGTTCTCAGATCTCAACCTCCGTGCTGGGAGACCCACTGCTCTCTTCAAAGCTGTCAGACAGGGTCATTTACATCTGCAGAGGTTTCTGCTGCTTTTTGTTTAGCTATGCCCTGTCCTCAGAGGTGGAGTCTACAGAGGCAGGCAGGCCTCCTTGAACTGCCGTGGGCTCCACCCAGTTTGAGCTTCTGGCGGCTTTGTTTACCTACTTAAGCCTGAGTAATGGTGGGCGCCCCTCCCCCAGCCTTGCTGCCACCTTGCAGTTAGATCTCAGACTGCTGTGCTAGCAATGAGGGAGGCTCCATGGGTGTGGGACCCTCCTGGCCTGGTGTGGGATGTAATCTCCTGGTGTGCCGTTTGCTAAGACCCTTGGTAAAGCGCAGTATTGATGTGGGAATTACCTGATTTTCCAGGTGTTGTGTGTCTCAGTTTCCTTTGGCTAGGAAAAGGGATTCCCTTTCCCCTTATGCTTCCCAGGTGAGGCGATGCCTTGCCTTGCTTCAGCTCTCACTGGTTGGGCTGCACCAGCTGACCAGCACTGATTGTCCAGCACTCCCCAGTGAGATGAACCTGGTACCTCAGTTGAAAATGCAGAAATCACCCATCTTCTGTGTTGCTCGTGCTGGGGGCTGGAGGCTGGAGCTGTTCCTGTTTGGCCATCTTGCTCAGGATCCCCCGATTTCAATAAATCCAAAATTTTCTTCTTGAAGATTTTTTCTTTGTCGTTAGCTTTCAGATGTTTGATTATGATATTTCTTAGTGTGGATTTCTTTGGGATTATCCTGTTTGAGTTTCACTCATCTTGAATTTGTAAGTTAATCACTTTCACCAAATTTGGGTAATTCTGAGCCATTATTTTTACAATTTTTCAGTACCACACCCTTTCTCCTCTCCTTCTGGGACTCTGATGACATGAATGCTAACACTTGTGTTGTCCCACAGTTTATTGAGGCTCTGTTTTTTTCCCCTCAGTTTATTTTCTCTGTTGTTGAGATGGAATAATTTCTATTGACCTATTTTTGAACAGGAACGTGTTTCTCATAGTTTTTGAGGCTGGGAATTTATTTCTCATAGTTTTGAGGCCAAGATCAAGACACCAACAAGTTCAATTATTTGTGGAGGGCTGCTCTCTGCTTCTAAGACAGTGCCTGTTGCTGTATTCTCTGGATGGGTAAAATAGTGGAAGGTGGAAGGATATTGATTCTTTTCTCCGTCATCTCCATTCTGCTATTGTGCCTATCTAGTGAGTTTTTTATTTTCCAGTTCTAAAATTTAACTCTGTAATGGGTTATTATATTTTTAGTTCTAAAATTGCCACTTGGCTCTTTTTATATCTTCTATTTATTTGCCAAGGTTTCCTATTTTCTCATTGTTTCAAGTGTGTTTGTAATTTCTTATTGAAGCATTTTTATGATATCTTCTTTAAAATCCCTAACAGATAAGGCCAGGCATGGTGGCAGTGGCTCACGTCTGTAATCCCAGCACTTTGGGAGGCCGAGGCGGGCAGATCACTTCAGGCCAGGAATTCAAGAGCAGCCTGGCCAACATGGCGAAACTCCGTCTCCTACTGAAAAACAAAACAAAACAACAAAAATTAGCCAGGTGTGGTGGCACATGCCTGTATTCCCAGCTACTCAGGAGGCTGATGCACAAGAATTGTTTGAATCCTGGAGGAGGAGGTTGCAGTGAGCCAAGATTGGGCCACTGCACTCCAGTCTGGGAGACAGATTGAGACTGTGTCAAAACAACAACAACAAAAATCCCTAACATAATCTCAAAATCTGTGTCATTTCACTGTTGGTTATCTGTCGAATGGTTCTTTTATCATTCAAGTTGAGATTTTTTTCTGGTTCTTGGTATGATAAGTGATTTTTATTGTGTGCTGGACACTTTGGGCCTTATGTTAAGAGACTTCAGATCTTGTTTAAATTTTCTATTATAGCAGACTTCTGCTAATACCACACTAGTGAGGTTAGGGAGAGTGTAGCACCTTCTGAGTAAGTCCATGTGGTCTCCTTACTATGGTGGAAGTACAGGATTCTTGTTCATTTTTTTCCCCATGGTGTTTGGTTGAAGTAGGGCAAATATTGTCAGAAAGGTTTCTGTCTTACTAGACTACCCCTTTCCTGGTCTTTTGTCTAAAGCAAGAGAATTTTCTTGGTGCAGTTTTTTTTGTCTGCACCTGCCAGAAACAGATTTTCTAGTGCCCAATCTGGGAAACACAGGAGGCAATAAGAAAACCCAGGAAACTTACCACGGTTAGTCCTTTAGTTCTGAGGACTCTAGCTACTCCACCTTGTCCTCTCCAGACTCACCAGAGAAATAATAAGCATATCAGATGTTTATGGCATAAGCTGGTGCTGCTAACATGCAGCCACCCAGCTTGCAAAGTCTTCTTATGTTTGCTTTATATATTATGCTCAGAGGTTTTAGTTAGTATCACAGGAGTGATAGTAAGAATTACATCTACTTCATTTTGTCCAGAACTGAAAGTCTGACTTTCATTTGTTAATAAAACATAAAAATAATGCAGTGGTTGGGCTCCTGAATCTTTAAGACTGCTATTTGTTCTGATCTCCATGAATGACCCATGTAAAATGATGAATGGTAGAGATCCTAAATGGGAGAGAGTTGAAGAAGCAGCCTTTTTTTTTTTTTTTTTTAACCTCCCCAGCAGTGATTGAGTAGGAAGGGTACCTGGGCTTTTTGATGTAGCAGGAGTTTTTCTTGAGTAAATCAGTAAATTGGCATTTAACTAGAGCTGGTAAAATCAGGATATGAAGCAGAACCTGGAAAATCCCTGGCCAGGCTGATGTTCTATATCTCTTTTGAGGGCTATGCAATTAATACATCCCTTGGAGCAACTGTGGCTTCTTCCTTGCTGATCGGAAGCTCTTGTGTTTTCCATGACCTCTTTCTGGTGCTGAGGTTTTACATCTCGCACACTTATGCTGCGTCTTCCTAAGTTAGGTAAAGTTCCTTCAAGAGAGCAGGAAACATTCAACCCGAGAAAGCTGATTGAGATTTAAAAAAAAAAAAAAGAGAGAGAGTGAGAGAGTAGGAAACAGTTCCCCTACTTCCTCCTCTCCCTACGGGTACCTACTAAAGTGGTCTTGCTCGCCCTAGAGGCTCATAAACATCGGATAGGCTTATTATTTCTCCGGTGAGTCTGAGTAGCATGAGCTGGTGCTCCTAATGTGCAGCCACCCAGCTTTCAGACCTTGCAGAATTGGCTCCGGACGGTGAGAGACAGCGTCTTTCCAGGGCAGCATGTCTTTAAAAAACAGAGTTCAGTAAGGAGACCCACAGTGGCTACCCAATCCACAGGGAGGTGTTTATTGAAGTCTCTCCTCAGGATCTTTGTGTTTTGGGATCACGTCATGATTTTAGGCCGCACACTAGAATGTTCACATATTTGACCGTCGTTTGCCAGCCCTGCCTCCCTCTCTTGGTGACTCCCATCTATCCACTTACCCTTCCGCCAATTAAGTCCGTGTATTTGTAAAATGAATGTAAGTGTGAATGAGCGAATGCAGGAAAGGAGAAGAATGGAATGGATGAACTTGAACACTACAAATACTCTTGGAGACCTAGAGATTCTCATGAATTTGCACATTTATTGACTGAGGCACTGGGGTTGGGAGGTAGTTGTACAGAAACCAAAGAGGCTAAACAGCAGCACTAGTTGCAGTCGGAGAGCTCAATGGCTTCTTTCAGGTAGGTTAAGACATGAAGGATTTGCAAACCTCGGGTAACATCATGAGAGCTCTAAGCCCATCGGCGCCACTGGAAAACACCTCCAACTCCTTCGCCTCCGTGGTACCCCGGGGGACCTATTTGGATGGCCAGGTAGGCGCCTGCTTCTGCTGGGTCTGGTGGCAGACCGGGACGCCCTTGCCACTCCCTGAGCCCCCCACGGAGGAGCCACCGCCACAGCTGGAGCTGCCGCCGCCCCCAGAGGAGCCACCTCCGCAGACGGAGCCCCCGCCACCGATGACGCAGCCGCTGCCAACCCCGGAGGAGCCGCCGCCGCAGCCGGAGCCCCCGCCGCCCCCGCCGCTGGAGAAGCAGCCACTGCCGCCGCTGCCGCCGGACGACCCCCCTCCGTAACTCGGCTGGGGCGCGCACGAGGTCTGGGTGACCTGCTGCGAGGAGACGTAGCCGGAGCTGCCGCCGCCAGAGGAGCCTCCGCCGCAGCCAGAGCCGCCGCCGGAGTAGCCGCCGCCGCCGCAGCCAGAGCCGCCGCCGGAGTAGCCGCCGCCGCAGCCGGAGCCGCCGCCCCCGCCGCTGGAGAAGCAGCCGGAGCCGCCGCTGGAGGAGCCGCCGCTAGAGACGCCGCTGGAGACGCCTCCGTAGCTCTGGCACTGGACAGCCTGACCCGAGGAGCCGCCGCCGCCGGAGAAGCAGCCGGAGCCTCCCCCGGAGGAGCCACCCCCACCGCTGGAGAAGCAGCCAGAGCCGCCCCCGGAGGAGACGCCGCCGCAGCCGGAGCCGCCGCCACCGGAGGAGAAGCAGCCGGAGCCTCCCCCACCGCTGGAGAAACAGCCGGAGCTGCCCCCGGAGGAGCCACCGCCCCCGGAGTACTTGACGTTCCCACCGGAGCCCCCTCCGCAGCCTCCAGTGCCGCCGCCGCCCCCGGAGGAGCCCCCGCCACAGCCGGAGCCGCCGCTAGAGTAGCCACCGCCTCCGGAGTAGCCGCAGCCAGAACCGCTGCTGCCGCCACCGCTGAAGAAGCCGCCGTCGCCGCCGCCGCTGCCGCCGCTGCCTCCGCCTCCGCTACCGCCGCCAGAGGTCTTCACGCAGCCCACTGGGGGCTGGGGGGTGGGCTGCTTTTTCTGATAAGACATCTTATCTAAGGAGGAAGGGGAGCCTGGAAGGAGAGAAGAGAGCATCTCTGGACCGGCTGCAAGAGGATACTTACGGAGGCAGCTGCATCCATGGCAACATCGCCATCCTCCCAGCGCCTGCCTGCGCCAGGCCCAGGGCTCCTTCAGGTGCCCCGAGAGCCCTCAGCGGGGATTCCTGCTTTTGGAAGAGTTGAGCTCCTCCTTCCCCTGCAGAAAGCCTTCACTAAGCTTTAAACAGGCCAGTTAGCAGTGCCCGTTCTTTCTCCTAGCTCTGCCTCTGACCACTGTTGTGTGATTTGAGGGCAGATCACCCATACTCCTGCCTCTTTCTCATTTCCTATTAAATGGAAGGGTTTGAACACTTCATCTTTCAGGCCTCTTCCAGTCTCAACACTGATTCTCTGAGTGCAAATAGAAAGCTACCACAAACCTCTACCTAGGATGGGAGATTTTACCTATTCCCAGTACAACAGAGGGAGGTTTGTTGGACTCCATTCTACTGAGGCCTGTTGCACTCCATCCTCTGCAAAAGCTCTTAGTTCAAACTCTTGGTCTGTCCCACTGAGCTAGGCCCTGATCCAAGGGCCAGTTATTAGAAAAGACAGGCTCTGCTGTGGCCCTGCCTGGAAACAGGGGAAGGACCCTGGTGGTCCTTTGGACTAATATCCCCGACCAGAAGCTATTAGCCATCTCTTCCATGATTTTCTCAAGTCCAAGTTTGGTAGAAGGGACTTTGACTAGTAGGAAGTTGTATTTCCCTCTCAGAACTTCTAACTCTGTAAAGCAGCAATTGGATTTCTGTGGCACCTCAAATCCCTCCCATCTGCAACTTTCTTGGAATCATTCTCCCTACTCTCTTGAGAGTGGGCTCAGCCTCTCCTCCTGACAGTTTCACGAGGTCTGCTCAGCCTGTGCACAAGCTGCCTTGGACAGCCTCTCCAGAGTCCTTCTCTGCCCGGCACCATGCCTGCCCCTATGGGAGTGCCAGAGAGCAGGAGATAGTCTTGTCTTTGTGGAGTTTACATTCTGACCAGAAGACCAGAAACATCATCTGCATTGCAGCAGCTCATCCCCTGCTCCTTTCCTGACCGCCCTCCAAATGTGAGTGCTTTTGGGAAAGCAGAGGCCCTATAGCTCCCAAAGGGGAAAGAGGCCCTGGTCCATCTAATCTAGTCAGGCCTGGGCAAGACCAGCTGGGAAGATGAGAGACTCAGTGGAACCCACACTTACCCAAAGCACCAGGAAGGGTGAGTGAGGAGAGAAGATGCTGGCAATGTGAGGAGCACTGAGCTCCTGAGGTTATATATAGAGCTCTCCAGGCCAGCTTCTTGTGTTTGACCTCAGTTACGTGACCCGTGGCTGTCAGCCCCACCTCCCTGTGATTGCAGGCACAGGATGGCCCATTCATGAAGGTTTTGGCATTCTTGAGATGGGCAGCCTGGTGTATGACTGGCCCCTCCTCTGATGCAACAGTGTAGCAGGCTCATCAGTGGGGTCACCCAGTCAGAGTGGATGGCAGACATTGTTTCCAAAACCTCTGGCGCAGGATGCATACCAGGTGACCACAGGGCTGTGCTTGAAGAATAGGTCCCAGAGTCTTGAGGTGCCCTTAGAGAGTCAAACCGGAGATCTCAGTGCTTTGTCCAAGGAGTAGGACCTTCCAAATCCTACTGCTTGGCTTCTGGTCCTGCTACTCTAAAAGTCCTCAAAACCTTAGAACCTGTTACTCCTTTGCAAAAGTTTCTCTCCCAGGATTTCATGTGTGCTTTGCTGGAGTGTTTCTGTCCTGCCCACTGGAGGCATGAGTCCCCAGCACCCAGCTCTGGACTGCACACCATAGACAGAGCTGTAACTAATGTGACATGGGAAGCTACTTTGATTTGTCCCCAGAGACAGCAGACATTTGAGAAAGTCTGAGAAGGATAATCAATACTGACTTTCTTTGCAGCAGAGCAAACTAAAGAGATGGACCATGTGATCCCACAATGGCTCTTTGGCTTTGTTGTCCTGTGGTGTTGTGTGACAAAACACTGACCTCAGCCTGAGGGGCAGTCATCGAATGGGGTAGACTTCAGATTAAGTGACAGGTTGGGTGCTCCCTTTTCTACTTGCCAGCTGTGTCACCTTGGGCAGAGTCATAGCTCTTAGTGCAGTGCCTGCCCATGGGAGACACTCAGTAAGTATTTATTGACTGTGGAATGATCAAGCTTTCTGACCCTCAGTTATCTTTTCTATCAAATAGAAATAGTAGTACCTATTTCACAGGCATGTGAAGAGAGAATGTTAAGTGTAGAAGGTGATGCTGTCTTTTTTGTATGTTTTCTCATATAATAGCACACCCTTACTTCCAACCTGGCCTTCCCTTGGACACCAAGGCCAGAAAGGAGTCCATGGAGGGATTGGGCAAGTTTGATTCTTCTCTTAGGAGAATAACTCAAAACTTTCCTGTTGACTCTGGACCAGTAGCATCACCTCTGTACATGCAGAACGCATGCTTCTTCTTTCATAACCGGAAGTCAATTGGTATTGTTTAAGATACCACAGTCAAGGCCGGGCGCGGTGGCTCACGCCTGTAATCCCAGCACTTTGGGAGGCCGAGACGGGCGGATCACGAGGTCAGGAGATCGAGACCATCCTGGCTAACACGGTGAAACCCCGGCTCTACTAAAAAATACAAAAAACTAGCCGGGCGAGGTGGCGGGCGCCTGTAGTCCCAGCTACTCGGGAGGCTGAGGCAGGAGAATGGCGTGAACCCGGGAGGCGGAGCTTGCAGTGAGCTGAGATCTGGCCACTGCACTCCAGCCTGGGCGACAGAGTGAGACTCCATCTCAAAAAAAAAAAAAAAAAAAATAAGATACCACAGTCAAACTTTGTTCTGCCCAGTTATGTTTTGGACTGACAGCTCCAATAATAAATTCTTAATTATAGTGCACTTTTAATGATCCAGATAATCCTGATTAGACTGTGGCCTTCAGAAACTTGTGGCACTAGTTTCAGTTTGGGCAGCATAAACCCAGGTGAACCCGAGAGGAACTCAGGTGCTCTCTTCCTTAGAGGACACCCAGCAGGGAGAAGACAGGATCTGTTGGAGAAGGCAAGTTTCTCTGCTTGAAGTTGAGGTAGTGTGGAGAATTTGGAGGGAAACAGGCCCCGATTAGTGAGATTGCTATGGGTATAAGAAAGAACGGTTTCATTTAGTTGGGCCATATTGGAAAGAGGAGCACATGTGGACCACGATTCCCAGCACTGATCTGTCAGCCCTTGTTGGCCCATTACTATATGTTCACCAGTCCTTAGCAAAAGTGTAAGTAAAAGGACGTCAGCAGGGTATTCTTGGGAAAGAAAGTCTTCACTTCTGAAATCATGGCCTTCCTTACCTCTTCCATTAAAAGATATGGCGACATGAGGCTGTAGTTGTTTCTTTTATGTCCTGCCACGTCAAAATGAAAATTTGACAATAGTGTAATGATTACCACTTTTTTTTGAGGGAGATATTACTTACCCATGGAATTCTGAAATTTGGGAACTGGGCCAGGCGCGGTGGCTCATGCCTGTAATTCTAGCACCTTGGGAGGCCAAGGTGAGAGGATTGCTTGAGCCCAGGAGTTTGAGACCAGCCTGCACAACATAGCAAGACCCCGTCTCTACAAAAAGTACAAAAATTAACAAGGTGTGGTGTCATGCGCCTGTAGTGCCAGCTACTCTGGAGGCTGAGGTGGGAGAATTGCTTGAGCCCAAGAGTTTGAGACCAGCCTGGGTAACAGTGAGACCTCATCTCTACAGAAACATAAACAAAATTAGCTGAACATGGTGGCATGTGCCTGTAGTCCTAGCTACTCAGGAGGCTGAGGTGGGAGGATCGCTTGTGGCTGGGAGGTCAAGGCTGCAGTGGGCCGAGATTGCACCACTGCCCTCCAGCCTGGGTGACAGAGTGAGACCCTGTCTCACAAATTAAACAAAACGGGAAGCAGTTTACAGTTGACTCCCCAAATGGCTAATCTTCAAATTGTCCATGTTGGCTTTGGGGGGTTCATTTTCTTCTAAGAAATATAGGGTATTTTTTTTTCTATTAAATTTAAGATGCTAATTCTTTATTTGTTAATCCAGCCCAAACAAATGTACTGGGCACCATGCTAAGCGTCAAAGAGCCAGAAGGCTTTCCAAAGCTATGCATGGATCTTCTTGGTAGAGTTGCAGGTGGGGATGGTGCCCCATGCCTTAATAGGAAATGCTATACACACACACACACACACACACACACACACACACACACACACACATACATATATTACTTCTAACTAGTACAAATATTTAGTTAACATGCAGAAGAGGCTGATGTGACATGATATTGAGTACCAGATCTTGTGTTTTTCAGCCCTGAGTAAACCTTGCCTGAGTATGAATATATGAGCCTGGTTTCCCATTTTATTGTTCCGGACCAGAAGCAGTAGTCCTAATGGGGTATCTGTGTGGACAGCAACTGATTATCACCTTTTATCATATCAGTGAGGAAATAATGGGACTTCGTAGAATTGTAGAATGACACATAGGTATTTGGAGTTTTGTAAGACTTGGCAGGTCAGAGTTTTAAGGTTTATAGCCTTTATACACCTAACCCTGCAAGGTGTGCTTGATAGTACATTTGACTTCTGCAGTTTGACAGATTAGGACGTGGTTCTTGCCTATACTTGTATCCTTAGAGGGGATGGTCCTTAAAGCAAATGCTACACAGTACCTGGCATGGTGCTGGGCATTAATAGGTGCTCAGTAAATCCCAGTGGAATTGAAGGAACTCTTGAGACCTATTGACTGACTGTGGTTGAGAGATGATCTTGTCAGATGATTAGGAGTGGAGGGTTTCAGCATGGAACTACAGATTAAACCTAGCCACTGTGCAGAATGAACAAGCCTTGTGCAGGGAATCCAAGGCCAGCTGTAGAGGTGACACTGGGCTAACACTGGGCTAGTGGAATTTTAGCCTGCTTCCCCGACCATCCTCA